ATAAATCACCATTAAATAAAGTGCCCAGCTCTCTGAAATGGAAATTGGAGACATTCAGAGGTGATAATATTAGTGATATTCTCGTATAAAATATCTTTATCAACATCTTTAGGAATAGAAAAATAATAAATTAAAATTCAAATGAGTTATTGGGAGAAAAAAATGGCAAACTATGAAATTTCAACAAAATGTATTTATTTTTTTATGTTTCTATTGATATTTCCTGATTAGTTGTTCATTTATTTTCCTTCGGCTTAGTCCCTTTGTTCATCAGGGGTAGCCACAGTGGAATGAACCGCCAACTTATCCAGCATATGTCTTACACAGCGGATGCCCTTCCAGCAGCAACCCAGTACTGGCCATATACTTACATTCACACACATACACTACGGCCACTTTTGTTCATCCAATTTACCTACAGCGCATGTCTTTGGACTGTGGGGGAAACCAGAGCACCCACACGTAGGAAAACCCACATGAACACACGGAGAACATACAAACTCCACACAGAAATGCAAACCCAGCCGGGACATGAATCAGCGACCTTCTTGCTGTGAAACAACAGTACTAATCACTACTGTGTCGCCCTTTTTCCTGTTTATTACAATTTTATTTATTATTTTTCCACAACGTAATAATTTTGGTGTACTAATTTTTTACCTTTGATCTTAAGTTTTTTGTTAGATTAGTTAACCACTTCAAACAGAAAACATAACAAAAACATAAAGATATTGAAATATATTTAACATTAATGTTTAATATTAACCATGATTTTACTACATAACAACCAAAAACCATGGTAACCGCCTTTGGTTCCATATTTTAATCTAATGATGTGCGATACCACTGGTTTCCTATCCGATACCAATGACTGTAAAAAATATGGACGACGCGACAGCCCTTTTTCCCATTGAACGCCTTGAGGGCAAAACGCCTGCTTGACGGGCACAAACTGTCGCAAAAGACTGCTGAAATTGGAGCCTTGACATGCGCAGAAGGATTGTCTGATGGAGCCAGAGGAGGAGCCGCGAAAATGAGCAGAGTCGAGCTTCCAACCAAACGCTTTATGTAAAATCAACCACGCCCCCGAACTTCTCAGCATGCGTTTGCTGTCATATCAACACAAATGGATGTAATAACGTTAACAAATATGAGGGTTTTATATATTCAATCGCGCCAGCTCCAGGCCGCAGCGCATAACTTACTCGCGGCGTCGCCGGCTGATTCCGGCTCGCATGCGGCAGCGCCTGCTCGCTCGGCCGCCGCATCTGGCTCGATTGACTCGGGCTGGAATTGGGTAGTGAGTCCAGGCATCGGGAGAAGGTCCAGCTGAGGTAACATTAGTCAGTCTGAGCTCTAAGGGATAAGTCTCCGGCAGGCGAGAATCTAGCCGGAACTGTGTTTTGCTATCTGGGTGGTTAGGCGTGTATCAGCAAACTAATAAAGCCCGAAAAAAAGCCCTGAACTTAGTGAATAAACAGTGTTCCACCAGGATCATGTATGTCAGAAACTATAGTTTACTGCTGAACTCATTTTGTCATGGTAAAATAACACAGAAATCGAATAATAACATTTCAGTCTGCTTCAGTCTCCTGCCGAAGCTCAGACGCCGCGCTTTGAGAAACTGTCAATCACAGCTGTCAATCACGATGACACGCCCAGCATTAAATTACTGCTAAAAACAAACTGTTTACAAAAATGAAGATCTGCACCTATTTCAGCACAATAACCAGTGCCTTAATCGACCAGAACTATCTTTCGGGACATTTTATTGCAAGTGTAATATTTTTTTTTATTTGGGCTCAAGTCTCCTTCATTAACACGGAGGAGGCGGGCTTTATGACTTGTACTGCAGCCAGCCCCCAGGGGGCGATCTAACGGCCGAAACCTTCACTCAAACGTAGGCTTGCGGCACACTCCGATACCAAGTAAAATGAAGGTGAGTATCGGCGTATCTACCGATACTTTGCCCAAAAATCACTGTTTGGGAAATTAAGGGAACAAGTACTGTACTTAAAAGTGTCACTTTATACTGAATACGAGTCATATGAAGGGTTATTCTTGTTTATTGATTAAGAATTATCATACAAAAAAAGAGCCGACTTACATATTTATTGACAGCATCTGAGCTTGTATATCTTAAAATACCAGCCTGAACAATTTACACCTTTTAGTTTAGTGACATGTTAATCCGGTCCCCTTGAAGGTTTTTGACCTTCTTCTTTTGTTTTATCATTGTCACAAAAACCCAAGCCCCCAAAATAAAGCCACATTGCCACATTTTCTCCCTCTGTACCTGGATGGTGCCTGCCTGCTGCACCTCTGCAAGCGATGTCTCGCCCCAGCAGCACCTGTGCCTCTCCTTTCCTCCTCTTCTGACCGCCTAGTCATGACGTTGTCATATTCTGTCTTGTGATTTATATGTAGATGTTTGATTAGGTTTGTGGTTTTACCACAGTACCTCACTGTTTTGTAACACGTGTCACAAACAGCATCGTTTGAGATTATGGAAGTGAAGTAGCTCCACACAAAACTTTGATAATGGTCACCTATGTCCAGTGACAGCGTGACTAAACAACATGTGCCAGCGGACTGACTTAGTGGCTAACTTGCGTGCTCTGCAGTTAGCAGTGCCATAGTACGCACATGACTTGGCAGGCGGAAGAACAAGTAGTTCCGACTAATTTAGCATTATTCAAACTAGGGTGATTGTGGTTACTTTTCATTGTATTTCTATTTGCAATAAACTACATATTTGCTCCAAATTACTGAAATATCGATATTTTGATAAGATAATAAATTCTAGAACACACAAAGCTGGTAAAGGAGATCTGCACATCATTAGTTTAATCATGGCTTTTAAAAGAGCAATTCCAGCGTTATGGATGTGACAAGAACATTAAAATCTTAAAACATAAATGCACATAAAACGTATATGCTAACATTATATTGAAACATTCATTAATTAATTTTCCTTTGGCTCAGTCCCTTTATTAATCAGGGGTCGCCACAGCGGAATGAACCGCCAACCTATCCAGCGTATGTTTTACACAGTGAATGCCCTTCAAGTTGCAATACATCACTGGGAAACACCCATACACATTTCACACACATACACTATGGACAATTTAGCTTACCAAATTCACCTGTAACGGATGTCTTTGAACAGTGAAGGAGCACCCGTAGGAAACCCACACGAACACGAGGAGAACATGCAAACTCCACAGAGAAATGCCAACTGGCAGCTGAGGCTCAATACAGCGACCTTCTCGCTGTGAAGCAACAGCGCTACCCACTACGCCATCCATATTGAAACATCTGTTTATATTTTCCAAAACAACTAACCACAAAGTTATTATAATATCAATCTGTAAAAAAAAAAAATATTTTAAACAAGGAAAATAAAGATGCGTTATGGATTTTAGGAAGAAAGTTTACAGTCTACACAATACTTAGTAGAAATTCTGTGAATTTTAACTGCACAACCCAAAAGAAACGATGCTAATCAAGAGGATAAGAGTTGGCTCATTAAAGAACAAAAATGATGGATTTTTTTAACATTTTTGCTTTTATGAGGAAAAAGCTTTGTTACGGATGTGACTTGTGTGACTTTGGGATATCAAATATAATAGTTTAAAACCTTGACAGACATTTTCGAGTATTTTACAGCACTGTAAAATACAAGCCTACACAAAAAAACCTAGAAAGGTTTTCGCTATTTTGGTAAAAACTTAATTTTTTTTTCATGGGAAGGTTGACATGCATGAAATTGCTCAAAAGTTTGTTTATCAAACAATAACAGATATTCAAAACAATCATGGTTAACTTGATTTGATAATTTTTGTAAGGTTTTTATTTAACATTACTTACCAGGGCTTGACATTAACACCCGCCAACCTGCCAGAATGCGGGTAGATTTCAGAGGTGGCGGGTAAGACTCCCACTAGCGACTTTGGCTGGTTAAAAATAATTTACTATGATAATAATTCTTAAAAGCAGGGTTCGACAATAGGTATGGTCCAATGTAAATGCAAAGGCGATCTTAGAAGTGAAAAGCAACGCAATTGACAAAAATAATTGCATTCGCTCGAGCAATAGAAAGCAGGTGAATACCGAATGAGAGAATAATCACTCGGGTTAATAGCTAAGGTGATGCGCGCGGCTGGTTAAAACGCGTGTGCACTCCCGTTTCCTTGCGTGAAGCAACTGTGTCTAGAAACAGAACTGATGTAATCGGTTGTCTCTTTCACTTGTTTTCTGCTCCACATCATGAAATGAGTAAGTGAACAAATAGTGAACATAAAGAACGTGATTACCTTTTATTTGGTGATGTTTCTGAAATAATCAAAATATTTGTATTATTATAGCCCCCTTAAGCATTATTTAATTGATTGTCTACAGAACAAACCACTGCTATACAAGGACTTTTTAACAATTACCATAATATGCCTAATTAAGACTTTAAATGTCTCTTTAAAGGGCACCTATGATTAAAATCAACTTTTGGAAGCTTTTTGGACAGAACTGTGTGTAGGTATAGTGTGTCCACTGTCATATTGGAGTGATATAAACACAATAAGTCTCTTTTTAAAAATTTTTCTGATGTTAAAATAGGACCAAAATCCAAGTGATTTTGAGGCCCGCCGCAATGTGACATAGGAGTGCGGTTTTCCTACCCACCGAATTGATCGACAGACGGCATGTTTCTATAATAACATGAATACACATATCCACAGACCATTTTTTTTTGCAAATAAACTGGGATTAAATTATCTGTTCCAACTCTCTGTGATTTTTATGTTTTATAAGTTTAAAACGTTTTTAAAACAGAGCATATTTGTGATAACGTCAGTAAAATCTATGTAATTCTTGATCACGTGCATGTGTTCGTGTGTGTGTGTGTGCGTGTGCGTGTGTATTGCAAACAGCATTTGTGTGAGACTCATCATTTCAGAAAGGCTTGAACAGACTCCACCACAAATACATCAAATAAACTTACAGTACTTGTTTTTTCTTTACTAATAAGCTCTATTTCTGTCTATCACTGACTGCTGTTTATCTCACATAAAGCTTGAAAAGCAGGCACACAAGTGGCAGCTCATTTACATTTGCACTGCAGTCACATTTACATTTGCAGGGCAGTCACAGGCTACAAAAACAGCTACAATTTACTCAGACAACAAAACTCAGACAACAAAAAAGGAAGCTGGAAGCTAAACAATCTGATAGGAATTTTGAGTTGAAATTTTACAGAAAGATTCTGGAAACACCAAAGGCTTATCGTGCCTTAGGGGTAAAGGGGGTAAAATAGGTGCCTTTTTAAGTTGAATACAGGCATCTTGGAAAAAAACATCTAGTAAAATATTTTGTACTGTCATCATGGCAAAGATAAAAATAAATAAGTTATTAAAAATGAGTTATTAAAACTATGATGTTTAGAAATGTGTTGAAAAAATCATAGTTTACTCTCCATTAAACAGAAATTGAGGGAAAACAAATACAGGGGGATAAAAATTCAATGACTCCAACTGTATGTCTAAGTTTCCTATATTTCCAAGTACATTCTTTTCTAAAATAACAATTAAACAAATCAGAATTTTATAAAAAAAAAAAAATCATGTGAACTGAATAAATATACCTACTGTTTAGGCTCAATTTCAAACTTCAAAAAAATACAGAAAAGAATTCAACAGACAAATACTAATAATACTGATACAGCTGTGACTATGCGCTGGGCATTTTGGTTGAATAAATCGAGCCATTTTTGCATGTTGGAGCTTCTCTGTCACTCCACATTCCTGTACTTGGTGAAGAGATTGTAGAGGACCCTCAGTGTAGACTTGAGGTCGCAGTTGACAATGTCTGAAGAGACACATAAAAGAGACGAACATGATTCAGTTTAATGAGGTGACTGGATGCACTGTTAATTTCAGTACGAAACATTATCTTTTTTTCTCTCAACATTCCTGACATTACAACTGATAATGTCAAGAGCGGCTTCGAAAACACATTTAATGCTAGATGTTCCAGTCTAAAACTGGTTAAAAAGCACTGTTGTGCATACAGCTCTTTTTTACTATCGTTATTATTTATGATTACACACAATACAAGGCAATTTAAACTAGTTACAGCAAAAAAGGCAACCTGATTTAAAGTGTTGGATCAATGGACAAAAAAGTGGACAAAGAAAAAAAAAAACGGATTTTGTTCGCAATTTGGAAAACTTTAAGTTCAGGTTTCAGTTTTGTGCAATATAAAATGTGTTTAAAATGTCATGCTTAATATTTCTCCATCCATGACCATCTTGTTTATTATTCGATATAGTTTGGTATACATTTTTTGTATTTTTTGCATTATAATGTTACAAGTTTTGTACATGTAACCTCGATATTTTGACAGAAAAGAATCCCATATACAGTGCTCAGCATATATGAGAACACCCCCACAAATCTCTCATTTAATTTAATATTTTCTATAGGATGCTTTACAATATTATATTTGTGCATATACAGTTGAAGTCAGAATTATTAGCCCCCCTGAATTATTAGCGCCCCAGTTTATTTTTCCCCCAATTTCTGTTTAATGGAGGGAAGATTGTTTCAAAACATTTCTAAACATAATAGTTTAGTAACTCATTTCTAATAACTGATTTATTTTATCTTTGCCATGATGACAGTAAAAAATATTTGACTAGATATCTTTTAAGACACTTCTATAAAGCTTAAAGTGACATTTAAAGGCTTAACTAGGTTGATTAGGTCAACTAGGCAGCTTAAGGTAATTAGGCAAGTTATTGTATAACGATGCTTTGTTCTGTAGACTATCAAAAAAAAAAAAATAGCTTAAAGGGGCTAATAGTTTTGTCCCAAAAATATATATTTTTTAATTAAAAACAGCTTTTATTCTAGCAGAAATATAACAAATCAGACTTTCTCCAGAAGAAAAAAATATTATTAGACATACTGAAAAGTTCCTTTCTCTGTTAAACATATATTTAAAATACTTAAATATTTTAAAAAGAAAAAAAATTCAAAAGGGGGCTAATAATTCTGACTTTAACTGTACATTAGTTTAGTCAGTGCTGTATCAAACAAATCTAGGGGTAATCTAACAAAATGACTTACAACAATGGTTCTATATATATATAATTTTGCTGAAATGTAGTAGTTTGCAATGTTCTTACAATATTTTGCATGAACTTAAATGTATTATCTTTGCATTTCTACAGATGTTCTGTGACATAAATATTATTTAAAAAAAATGTATCTGTTTAATAAATCTTTTTTGTTTAAATGCACCAATATATATTATCCATATTCCCTGAGAAATGGAAAAAATGTACATTTTAAAAATGGGGTGTACTCATATGTGCTGAGCACTGCGATGTACCAACGCTATTTCACAGCAATTTGTAACTTTTTTGATTTGGTGGCTAATTCGTATGAATTTGTTCAATATCAATTTTGTACAATTTGCTCATCCCCCAGTGATGGCTGTGGTATATGGGTGGGGTTTGGTGCCATGTCTCCTTTTAAAAATCGCACATTTTCATACGACTGAACTCGTACAAATTCTGACAAAATGTAAAAAAGTTTCCTCGTGGGATAAGGTTGGATGTACCCCACCATGAGCAGACAATGGACAGATGTAAAATTTGATGCATGTCTCTATGGTGGTTAAACATATAATTCACATATCTAATGAAGAATCTAAAAGGTTGTTAAAATTATCAATAGAGGTTAAATTGACAACTTGATGTTTAAATCTGTAGTTTCAGAAGTAGTTAAACAGACAAAAGTAACTGAGACACTCAGTGGTTGTTTCATGTTCAGTGTTTTACACACTTCTGCTGTTTAACTATAGTATATAACTGTAGTATAACTAGTCAAATCATAGGTCTCAAACTCGAATCCTGGAGGGCTGCAGCTCTGCACAGTTTTGCTCCAACCCTGATCAAACACTGATCCAACTAATAAAGGTGTTCCTGACTTTGAACACCTCAATTATATGAATCAGCTGTGTTTGATAGTGTTTGTAAGAAATGAGTCTGCCTCGACCCAACTTCCACTCTAAATAGTGAATTGATGCTCATTTCCCAAAAGGGCTGACTTATGAGAGAAAAGAGAAGTCAACAAGGTCTTGTCTCTGCATTGTTTGAGGTGACTACATCTCAACCAAATGGTAACAATTGTAGAATGGGGATGGGTGTGGTGCACAAAGAACCATCTCATCAATGGTGTTGAAACTGCATTAACATGGAGAGATAGGGAGATCAGCTGGGTCAACAGCCAAGGAGCAACTTCATTAACATCTAAAGGCAACATCAAAAACAGTATAAAGGTTTGAGTTTAAGAATGTTCAGGGTTCATTCTGACTCCGGTGAACGCAAGGTACTGCCATGTATTTTGAGACTGCTATGCTGAATAAACATCTTCATTGAGATTTTCTTCGTCATCATCATTTTTTCTTACAGGTTGGAGCAAAACTTTGCAGAACTGCAGCCCTCCAGGAAATTGAGTTTGAGACCTATGGTTTGACTAGTTATGTTGATATGTTAAACTGTAGTATAATCACATTATCACATGAGTAGCAGTTTAGCCATTCTCCTCCAACCATTAGTTTAAAACCCCGAAACCCCAAAAATAAAACCCCGCCCCCTACTTAACATTTTATTTCAGTTGGAAACACGCAATCATACTGAAATACCAGCCTTATTTTACAAGAAAACATAACTACTTTACATTTTGTCAGTTTAGTGGCTGATTCGTACCAAGTACCGACCTCAAAAACCGAGCCGATGACAAAACTGTACTAAATTGCACAAATGAAATGAACAAATTCCTACAAATTGGCCACTAAATCCAAAAGTTACGAATGGTCATGAGAAAGTGGCGGAAATACTGAAAGCCTTTACAGCAACATCCGAATTATGCAGATTTTAAATAAATTTGTCATGTATATGCTGAGATATGTTTAAATATATATTATATTTGTTAAAATACAGTTTTAAAAAAAAAATATTTGAACACTTCTGTGCACAAAAGTGTTCTTGGCGCTCTGCATGATTACATTTGAACCACATGTCACATGGAATATTTTGACAATATTTCCTTTTCTGAATTTTAAACGACATTGCTGTCAATAGAGGATGAGGGAGCTCTCTGATTTCTCCTAAAATATCTTATTAGGAGTTGAGCAATTAATAACACAATTTTCTTTTTTGGGTTAACTATTCGTTTATTGTTATTATGAAATTTAGTGACAATATCATGAAAGTGAAATCTCATTAAGTGGCCTTTTATTTCATTTTATAACATTGATTCAACCCAAACTCATAATGGATACATACCCCTTCATGCATTTCTGGAGAGCGCCAAATACGTCCCAGGAGCTTTTTTTTTTTTTTTTTTTTTTTTGCAGTTTTTGTTTTCGTGAATCCACCAGAGGCTGCTGTGTATGCTTTTTGAGAACTCAATTTTTTCTCGCGAGTGCCATTTGTGCCTGCTGTTCTCCTGTAAATCCACCAGAAGCCGCTGTCGCCTGACTGACCAATCCCCCAGATTGACCCGCCCACATCCTTCCCTAAACAACAGTGTTTTCAAAAGCAATCTAAAAAAAGAAAGCCCTTGCAGCCGCCTAATTTTTACCACGTTTTTTAAATCTCACCACATGCTCACCCTGTTTTTACTTGTTTATTTTATTTTTTGCCTTTTTAGTTTTACCCACTTTCTTGAACCGTTCTTCGCCAGACTCAAACCCTGTCGTCGTAGTCAACTCCTATCTGTGTCCTAAATCCACCGAAGTACACGATGAGCCACTGGGCAAACTGGTAACAGCGGAATAGCCATCCACATAGACAAATTGTCCATACAAATAAACAAAAGCCATCGGCGATGTCATACCTCCTTGTAGCATTTGTTTTAAAGACTAAATGCAGCCATACATACCTCTGGCTACATAACTCACGCTCTCCAGAAATGTATACAGGGGTACATTTTCACAATGAGTTTTTAAAGAAGTACATTCACAATCTGTAGTGAAGTACAAGTGCTTGTTCAATACAATTAAGTGCTTTTTATACTCATAAGGGATTTTAAGTGGTTGTTAGGGTGTTGCTAAGTATGTGCTCAAATAAAACAAGCTCAAGCGCACATCGATCTCATGTTTAGTCTCTAACAGCATTTAAATCCTTTGCTCGGTTTCTCATTGAACAATCACTGCTCATAATTAACAGCAACACGTTCATGCTATCAATGTATTTTGCATTAAACCTCATTTAGTAACAACCGCCCATGAGGCTTATTCTCAGTTTGATGATCTGTGCCGCATTAACCAGATGTTGTTTAAGCCCCGTGATTACAGGGGAACTCTCTTGCAGCGAAACGAAAATGCAATTGTAAATGCAGCATGCAATCGGGACATTCAGCAGACCTTTTAAATAAAGTAAAGCGCAAGCCCCATCTGTTGATTATCTTCACATTCAAGTAGCTGAACAGCAACAGTAGAGGAGGCAATGAGGAGATCAATTCAGCTGATACTTCCTAACTACAATAAACTACTGCAATCAGGCAGCATGCCATGACTGTTCCTTGCTAAATCAAGCGGTGTGGCATCTGTTTCACACAACAGAAGCACATTATTCATTACAAGAACCTCTAGATTATCTCCAGCAGTCCTAGTACAGCAAGAACCTGAGAAAATATTGTGAAAATGTCACCGAACATACATTTACATCTACAAAATATAAAAAAAAAACCAAATGACTAAATAAAGAAATACATTTAAAAATCCATTAATGTTAATGTTTTTAAATTTCAAGGTTGTCTACAAAAACCTGCATACTGACTATATATGACTTTTCT